GAGATAGTAGGAACTGCCGATGCTGGAGAATCTGAGATTACAAGGTGTAGAGGTGGATGAACACAGCAGGCCAAACAGCGTCAGAGGAGCAGAAAGGCTGACGTTTCGGGTCTGGACCCTTCTTCAGAAATCTAGGCCCGAAACGTCAGCTTTCCTGCTCCTCTGACGCCGCTTTGCCTGCTGTGTTCATCCAGCTCTACACCTTGTTACCTCAGATTCTCCAGCATCTGCAGTTTCTACTACCCCAGGACTGATAACGGATTTATTAATGAGAGAAAAGCAATTTCATATAGACAACATCAACTAAGTAAAGCCTTTGACAAGGTCTCTCGTGACAGACTGGTACAAAAGGTGAAGTCACATGGTATCGGTGTGAGCTTGCAAGGTGGATACAGACGGTAATAGTGGAAGGATGCTTTTCAGAATGGAGGGTTGGGACTAGTGGTATTCCACAGGGATCAATGGTAGGACCTCTGCTGTTTGAGGAAACTGTGGCTCGTGTAATTATTAAGTTTATGGACAATACAAAGATTGGAGGAGTTGAGGATAGTGAGGAGGATTGTCAGAGGATACAGATCAGTTGCAGAGACAGGAGGAGAAATGGCAAATGGAGTTTTAATCTGTGTAAGTGTGAGGTGCTGCACTTCGGGAGATCATATGTCAAGGGAAAGTATACAGTTCATAGCAGATCCTTCAACAGTATTGATATGGAGGGATCTTAGGGTTCACATCCACAGCTGCCTGAAAGTGACTATGCAAGTAGATAGGGTGATAAAGACAACGTATGACACGTTTGCCATTATACTTCAGGGAATTCAGTGCAATCGTCTCGATGTCACGTTGCAGCTTTATATGACTTTAGTTAGGCCACACTTAAAAATCCTGCATTTAATTCTGGTCACCATGTTAGAGGAAGGATGGGGAAGATTTGGAGAGGGGGTAGAAGAGGTTTACCAAGATGCTACCTGGATTAGATGATATGAACTATCAAAAACAACTCTGGCTGTTTGCGCTGGAGTAGCAGAGGCTGAATGGAGACTCTATAGAAGTCTATAAAAACAATGAGATTCATAGATAGGGTCAACAGTCAGAATCTTTTTCCCCGGGCTTGAAATGTCTAAAAGTAGAGGGCATGTAACTAAGGTGAGAGGGGGAAGTTCAAAGGAGATGTGGAGGGGGCAAGTTTTATTTTAAAAACAGAGTGGTAGGAGTGTGGAATAAACAGATAAAATAGGGCATTTGAGACTTTTGTATAAGCTCATGAATATGCAAGAAATTGAGGGATATGGACCAAGGGCAGGGAGAAGGGATTAGTTCAATTTGGTGTCATTCTCGGCCCAACATTCTCGGCAAAGGTCCCATTCCTGTGCTGTGCAGTTTAACTTGGACATAGATCAGCTGGAGGCATGGGCAGAAAAATGGCAGATGGAGTTTAATTCAGACAAATGTGAGGTGATGAATAGTGGAAGGTCATCAGGTGGAAGTATACAGTAAATGGTAGAAGCCTAAACAGTATTGATAGGTAAAGGGATCCCAGCATGCAAGTCCACAGATCACTGAAGGTGGCAGTGCAGGTAAATAAGGTAGTGAAAAAGGCATATGGCATTCTTGCCTTCATTGGTAGGGGTACTGAGTAAGAGTATAGACAAATTATGCTTTATAAAACTTTAGTTAGGCCACACTTGGACTATTGTGTACAGTTCTGGTCATCACACTACTAGAAAGAACTGGATGTTTTGGACTGGGTATGGGGGATTTTACCTATGTAAAAAGGTTAGATATACTGGGTCTTTTTTCCACTGGAATGCAGGAGGTTGAAGGGCGACCTGATGGAAGTTTAAAAGATTGTGAATGGCATGCAAAGAATGGAAAGTATGAGGCTTCTTCCCAGGGTAGAAGGGTCAATTACTAGGGGACACAGGGTCAATGGGCAGGGGGAAAAGTTTAAAAAAAAAAATGTGAAAGACAAGTTTTTCCCCACACAAAGGGCGGTGAGTGACTGGAACGAGCTGCCAGTGGTAGTGGAAGCAGACATATTAGCAGCATTCAAGAAGCACCTGGACAAATACATGAATAGGAAAGGAATAGAGGGATGTGGATCCTGTCAGTGAAGAAAGTTTTTGTATGGAAGGGCAAAATTTGTCAGTGCAAGCTTGGAGGGCCAAAGTGCCTGTTCCTGTTCTGTGTTGTGTGTTTTTTTAAAAAAAGGCTAGTGTAACTGAATTAAGACCTCAAATAATTATGAGCATTCTTCAGAATCAGAGAAGTTTCATTACTCTAAATTTTGATTGATTTATCACTGTCAAATGTACGGAGATAGTGAAAAGAATTGTTTTGCATGCTAACCAGACAAAATTATAACTTATATAATAGAACAGAATGCAGAACCTGCAGTCTTACACCTGCAGAGAAGGTGCTGAGAAAGATCAACTAATATGTTCACAAGTCTGCTAACAGAGGGAAGAAGCTGTTCTTGAATCTATTGGTATGTGTTTTCAAACTTTTGCATCTTCTGGCTGATGGAAGAGGGTGGAAGTGAGTACAACCAGGGTGGGGGGCAGCAGGAAGTATAAACAGAGTCAAATGAAGGAAGGCTAGTTTTCATGATGGTCTGGACTGCGTTCACAACACTAATTTAAAATTTGTAATCTAAATAAATACATCAGAAAATCTAAAGTCCAAAGCCCAGCTGTATGCAGTGAAAATCTGCCTACTTAAATATCACACACCGCTCCAATACCAGTAAAGAATTCCACAGATTGACACTCCAAGGAGAAATCTCAGTATCTATGCTATGAAGTCCCACAATACTTCAATACGATCACCTCTCCTCCTCAAACTCCAGTAAGAGCAAGTCCAGCCCAATCTTTCCTTATAAGAAAATTCTTCCATGTCTAGGATCATCCTAGCGAAGCAGCTGTTGTCTAATAAAAGCCAACATTTCATTTGCTTTCCTTAGTACCTGATAAATTTAGATGCTAGCTCTAAGATTTACGTACAAGAATCCCCAAATCTGTTTATAATGACTAGGTTTCATTACTTTGATATTTTCTATGCTTTATACATAATCTCTAATACCTACGACAGACCTCTGCAGTATTCTAAGATCTCAGAAAGGCATTATACTTTTAAGATAGTTAGATGACAGCACTGCATGTGGCACTAGTAGAAAGGTGCACGTTGCTCTACACATTAAGTTGGTCAGTTTGTAATCTAATTAGTTCACTTCCTATGTCAACTGGCTAGAAAACACACTAAGCACATGACCAAGACTGGGGCTCTTGTGGCACAGTGGTCTAGTTTAGAGTCCCACCTGCTATAGAGATGTTTAATAACATTTGAAACTGTTGATTAGAAAATGACTAACCAAGACGACAAATTGGATGTCTGAGAAGTCATAGATGTAAAGAATTAAATCTTAAACTTCCAGATGACATAATGCAAACGTGACTTGGTGGTGTGTGTTTGAGCTAACAGAAAACCAGCAGGTCATCAGAACAAAGCCTCTGCAAACAATAATATACACAAGCAAGGTAGAGCAAATCATAGTAGTTCAGGAATCTTGAGCTTCCCTGAAAAGCACAGATTTCAGTGTTGCAGGCATTGATCCATCAGAGCTGCATAGCAACCAGATTTCTACTTTGGGGTCAACCCACAGCAGGTGGATGGCAGTGGTTCAAGGCGGCAGTTCACCACCACCTTCCAGCGCAACTGGGGATGGGCAATAAATGCTGGCCAGCCAGCAACACCCACATCCCACCAATGAATAAAAAAGAAATATTTCTGCACAGGCTGCTCACAATTTTGCCAGGATGCATAGTCTTTGCATCACAGTGAGCTCAGTAGCTTCATTGTACATTGTTTACAATGTCCTCTCACAATGATAAACATACTGTTAGTTGGAGACATACTTGGCACAAAAGAAGATTGCTGTATTTGTTGGATGCCCATCATCCCAACCCCAGGATATCATTGCTTAACATTTTCACATGCTTCCTGACCTTGCCTCCATCACAAGGTCAGAAGTCAGGATGTTTGCTGCTGGCTGCACCACGTTTAACCTTTCTGCAAGTGCAGTCCAAGTCTGCAATTTGCAGCAAGTAACACTGATACTGAGCAAGTACCAGGCAATTACCATTTCCAACAAGTAGATCTAACCACTTAGCCATTACATTCAATGAACTACCTTTTCTTTATTCTTTCATATATCATGTATCTTTCAGGGACACTGGCCAGACACGTACGTTATCCTTTCAAGTTGAGAGTGGCTTGATCGATTCTCAACTGCTCGTTGAAATGACCAAAGGGATTCCTGTGGATTTGGAAGTAACACATGGGCCAGAGCACAAAGATGGTCAAGATTTCTTTCCCTCAAGAATATTAGTGAATCAGATAGCTTTAAGTTTCATGTTCTCCACTGTAGATGCTAGTTTTAAACTTCTATTGCTGAATCCCCTACTCATCTGCTAGAGGTTACCATTTGGCCAACAATCTAACTTGACAAAGCCATTGTGGCTCAAAGGCTAAGAGTTCCGCAGTGAGCAACTAACTTCTCAAGTTCTCTCCACCATTTACAGGCACAAGTCACAACTATGAGTGCAATTCCAATTTCGCTCAAAGCTCACTACCATACAGAAAATATCAGCCATATGTTCAGCAGTGCCTCAAACACTGGCACACGTAGTGGCAAGTGTGTACCAACAGCAACTCACTAAGTCCCCTTTAAATTCACACCCCCAACCAGAGGAAGGACAGTGACACATGGGAACATGACCACAAGTAAGTTCCTCTCTCAGCAACATTCCATCTTGACTTAGAACTAGGTCACTTTGTTTAGTGTCGCTGGGTCAAAACCCTGGGGAACTCCCTTCCTAAAAGCATTGTGGGTGTCCCGACACCATGTTGATTACAGCGGTTCATGACAATTGTGGATGAACAACAAATGCTGACTTTGTCTGCAACACTCATCTCATGAAAGAATAAAACTTGGAAGGTGAATATCAACAATGATTGGTTGGTTCAAGAAGCTTGTTTTCATGAAATAATTTATCTTACAGTGTAACATCCAGATTCTCAGACAGCCTGACTGTCCCAGTCTGCACTTCGGAATTATCTATGGCCACATCTTTTGGAGACCTGAACACAGCTCCATTATGTGCTGCATTTGATAAGACAATCACTGTGGAATTATCAGATACCATTGGAGCTGAAGGATATTTCTGACATCAGTTAATCCTCAACATAGCTGTACAGAAACATTTAAACATGCTGATATATAAAGAGGCACTCAGCTGAGCAGGGAAATAAATGCATTTTGAAAAGATGATTTGTAAGTGTTAACCAAATTATTTTCACATATATAAAAAAAACTTAGTCAACAGCAATGGCAAAGGTGATTTGACATTCCAGCAAAGGTTTTCTCCACCTTAAAGAACCTAGATTTGAAATGTTACGATTTCAATATCTACCCCTTTCAAATTGGAATGTAAAAATGCATGTCACGTTGAATGTTTTGGTTTGTAAACTCCATTGCTTTCTCAGCCTTGCAAAGAAAAGTCAGCAACCCGAAATATTGCCCGTCTTTGATTTGCCATAGATGTGCTCAACCTGCTGCGTGTTATGTGCATTGTGTGTATAATCTCAATCCTTGTTGCTATCAAAGTTTCTCTCTTGGGCTCCATGCTCAACCACCACAGCTAACATTGCAAAACAGCCGAACAAGCCATAGAATTCCCTTCTCAGACACAACTTTGGCTTATCAACTCCAGACATTTGATCAAACAATACTCACAGTAAATCTCCATGCTAAGGCTATCTCATTGATGAGGAACAGAATGTTCCTTCTTCAATTTCAGATCAGCATCCACATGCTAGGGGTGAGAGACTGTGTGCGTCTGTGCGTTTGTCTGGGGTGGCGGGGGCGGGGGGAGGGAAGAGAGAGCACGAGCTCACGTGAGCAGGAGGTAGTGTATATGGGAAAAACAGAGAAACTTTATTCTTAAGAATTTTGTAACATATCAAAACCCCATTAGCATCAGCGTATTTATGGTTTTATCTTAGCAGCACACCAGCCATTTTGAAAAGGATAGTAGTTGAGGAAAACTTGAAACTGGAAAAGTAAGCACTGAATATAGACTCTGTAGATTTGGAAAAGCATGTCCTTCATTCCAGTGAAATAATTGCCAGGAACTGTAAATAACTTTCTTCTTAATAAGGTATCGTGAATTGCGGTTATATCTTTGAGTTATTCTATTTAAGTACGAAACATAGACAAATGGAGAATAAAACAAATCAATCTCAAGCGAAAATAAGGCCAATATTGTAAAGCCTTAAAAAGAATGACAGGCTCATGGATTCAATGGCGCAGAAACCAATTGGTGCAAAAGATGTTAATTCCAGAAGCAAAGAATCCCCAGTTGCACAGAGTGGACAAGGAACTTCGCATCTAATAAGAGCAATAGTCCTAAAGGCAGAAACAGAAAAACTCAACCTTTCTTCCCAAATTTCCATAATTTCAGTTCTTTTAAGCCCAATAATAGATGAACCAGGTAGGACATCCACTTCACAATGAAGTTCCTGCTATTTTTAATTGGTCATGGTATATACAAACAGCATCCCACTGTATCCTGCAGAAAGCACATGACCATCTTTCCCAACTTTTAAAAACTCTACACCACTAGTTTCCTTTAATACAATGATTTATTAATAGCTTGCTGCGAGTTCAGTGTCCAGCAGCAACTTACTTGTTGACAATTCTAACTTAAATATACAGTTACAAACAATTCAGCATCTTTAGTAGTGCAACTTGTGCCGGCATGAAATGGCAAACTTCCTTCACTATTCTGATAAAGTTGACAAAACTATTTATAGTCAAAACATAATATTGATATCATTAGCTGAAACTATACACATTTGTACAGTACAAGTATTACTAAATGAAGTAATATCTGCGCTGTGTTAAATACTTAACAGCTTTGAACTGTGCGAAAACTAGAGGAAACTGCACATAGTGCTGTTCTGTTCAGAGGCCCTCCGCTTACATTTTACAATTCAACTAAGCCACCAGTTCATCGATGAGTAAAACATGCAACCAGCCTGTGAGAATCAAAAAATGTGTACAAAATGTATATTTCTTACTTGATTTATTAGCTTTGATATTTTATGACTCAGGTGCTGGCATTTAAACCTCACACCAGCCTCAACTTGCATGCACTCATTAACCATAATCCAGAATATGCCATTAGGCTTCACAAAATTAGTTTATTTAAAACTGTTCTCCACTGTGTTGAAAGATGTTGTCTAAACTACACTAAGTGCTGCATAAAATTGCTTGGTAGAAAATAAGTAACCAATAGATGATTAAATATGAAGCTGTTAAAGAGGTTCTCAGAATTTTAATATAAAATCACCAGATAATTTAAGATTGTGCCATGAAACACAAATACAGAACATACATTTTGCAGTTACCCAGAAATTACACATTGTGGAGAAAGAAAGCATATCAACATATTCAAAACAGCTTCTGTATAAAGTAATTAATTCCCCCAATAAACTTTCAATTACGTTGCTTTTTCTTTAAATAGGCCAGAATTTCTGCATTGTTTTTGTATCATATTTACACCCTGCTCATAGGACATACATGATAAAGAAACCCTGAAAGAATGCTTGTTCACTTAAGACTGCAGGGTTTACAAACCCAGCCTAAAGATGGAAAGTATTGTACAGGGTTTTAAATCCAATAAGCATGTATTTAACATGGAACATTCTAGATACGTACACAGTAAGTAACGTAGCCCTCAGCATATCTCTAGAACCAGTGCACTCTCATTTGTAACAACCTACAAATTGTCCTCACTTATGATACAAAATAGGACATAGGAAATGAAGTGAAATTGATTTCAAGGTGAAGCATTTGATGTGTACAAAGTGTGCACACGTTGCTTTCCATTACTTGAATAGTAGAAATGAAAGTGGAGAATTATAGCAGCTGTCAGTAAAGAACAAAGTGCTAACATGAAGAGTCATAGAAAGGGAAGGAGAAAAAAAAAGTAAAATGTCCAAACACCTTGGCCTTCAACTTTCACCCGTTTGTTAAACAGAACCTGTCTCTGATTTACGGGTATTCCCAGATTCAGTGTTCACCAATACTTCACTAATTAAGGAATCTCTTTGGAACATGACCCTGAATTCCTGAAAAGAGTGAAGGTCACATGGCGGCGCACTCCTGTAAGTTACAGTTTTCAAGTAAGATTAGCTCTGGTACGTGTAGCTAGTCACTATGTGTTGCTCATATGACTTATGCTCTGAGGGTGGAGCTGCTGCCACATCTGTTGCTGCTGCAATGCCAGCTGTTGTGACTGGTCCGACGTTGACAGAATGTTTATCAATGGAGACACACAGTTCTGAGGAATGATCAAACCTGTAAAACAAAGATTAAAACATAGGTTCAATAATTAAAATTACTTTCATACAGTCACTACCTACAAGTTTCTGCAGTGAAACGTACCCTTTGGATCAGATTTCAGGGTTACATCAAGCCGAAGAATTTCAGTAAAAAAATAATCAACCACATTTGTACCAGAGATACCAACCAAAATACAGAAAGCTAAAACATTCAAACATTAAGACAGGTGGACAAAAATTAAGCAAATCTTTTGTGACTGTTTAGTTCACACACAAAACTTTTCAATGGTCTGAAATCAGCCACAGTCCTAGTGATACAATGCTCTGTCCTAGTCACACTCCGATCCTTGGTAACATAGAAATAGGAGGACACCATTCAGCCCTTCGTCCCTGCTGTGCCATTCACCATGATCATGGCTGATTGTCCAAATTAATAGCCTGTTCTTGCTTTTCCATCATATCCTTTGATCCTTTTAGCTCCAAATGCTAATCTACCTCCTTGAAATCATACAATGTTTTGGCCTTGGCTGTGTTCTGTGACAGCGAATTCCAAAGCTCATCACTCTCCAGGTTAAGAAAGAGTAATGAGACTAGTGGATTCAGAGCATGATTGAGAAATCTGATGCACACTCAGGTTTGATATTTGACTTTAAAACTTACAAGAATGTTTGCTTTCCAAAATGTGGACACTGCAAGTATGGAGCTGGGCTGGAAAGAACAACGTGCAAGCCCAAGGGAAATCCCTGGATATGCACCCTCAAAAGAAAAGTATGTTGACAATCTCCCAATTAAAAAGGAGGAGATGTGAGTGAAAGGAAGTTAAACCCTTATTTAGAATTCACATTCCAAAACAACTAGATGGCACACAATAGATTTGATTCCTTGAATGCTTTGTAAGACTGCAAGAGAACAGGGTGTTCAAATCTGGCGAGAAAGGACTGCAGCACGTGAACTTGTTCCAGCAAAAGTTTCAACCTCTGGCCTTCACATCAGTCATTCCCACTTCAAAGTACAAGTTCAAGATTGCATCAAGTTCTTCATAAAAGTGCTAACGTGCTACAGAAATTCAGCTACAGTTTATTAAAGTAGAGGTAAAATATTGCAGATGCTGGAAATTTTAAATAAAAACAATGCTCGAGAAACTCAGCATGTCTGACAGCATGCAAAAAGTAACAGAGGTAACATTTCAAGTCCAATATGATTCTTCTTCATAACTGCAAGTTCAATCTGTTTTTGGCTAACCAGATTACAACGTAAACAGAGGGTGTTTTGATTCTGATCCTATATTTCTTGAAGGGGTTCTCTTGCACACAAATCAATTAAAAATAATACAAAAACTATTCAGGCTTGTCATACTTGTGTCAAATCTATGAAACACTCCCCTGCCCAATCTTCCCTAAATGTATTAATCACATTTATTTTGCAAAACCCCTCAAATCTGCTCTTAGGATCGATTCAGCCAGTCCCTACTTAGGTGACACATGTAAATTGAGTATTGTCAATGTTCATCTTGTTCAACTTCCTTACAATTTTATCCTTTGTGACAATGGCATCCTGCTCCTTAGCCAAAGAAGGGAACAGGACAAGGCCATGCCCTTAGCTTCCACAGATCACCTATTTGGTCCTTAATTGACTCTACTGCTTTTGACTACTGGTTGACAATTCATACAAAGGACTTCTGTTACCTGCTAATCTATTCTCATGCACTTATTTTCATTTGATAGCTGTCCTCCAATCTTTTGTGTATGCAACTTGGTTCTGTAGTGCATTATCAACATCTGCAACACTCCACACAAGTATACAGTTGCAGGGTTCCTAGATTGTGCTGCATCAGCTGGCTGTGGTTTACTTTTCTTATAATATGCAAGTACTTTTCGCACAGGAATTCCAAGTATGGCTCAAGTGAACATTCAAACTCTTTTAAAAAAAGTGAATGCACCAGAACGAATAAACTACCTGGAACGAATAACGCTACTTTGAGTAGATGCCAGTGGCCTAGGGACATTTTCTAGCAACACCAGGCTACATACTACTAATCCAAGGAAACACTGCATCACACAGGAACCAGCAAGTAAAGTTCTATGTAGAAAGAGGCTCATTGAAAGAATGACCAACTGGCTTTAAAATGCATAATCATTTCTTCATCCTTGCCGGGTCAAAGTCCAGAAAAGCCTCCCCTAAAAACACAGAGGTTGTATTTTTCGTCATTCTTTCAGGGAAAGCAAGCATCATTGCCAAGGCCAACATTTGTTGCCCAATCCCCAACTACCTGGAAATAACATTTCAGACAGCACAATGGCTCGTATAATTACACAAATCTTCGAAGGCTCTGATCTGGTGAGAAGCAGGTAGAACCCACAAGATAGACTTCTGCAACTGGCAATTTTATCTTCATCTGGTTACCGGCTATGTTGCCAGCTTTCAAGGAAAATAAATGGCTTAAAAATCAATAGCTTAACACAAAGTTAAAGAGATTCTCCATTCTCCTCCAAGTAGCAAAACTCATTCACCCACATCACTGATTCAGTATGCAGGTTGTGAAAACATGGATGGAACATCAGAAAAAATGTCCTTACTTTACAAAGTTTCTAGAAGTTATTTGTAAATTCTAGAAGATCCCAAACAAAAATGTAACATTCATTACAAAGACAGTTAAAAATAGTGCTCGATTATATTTTTGACAGGTTACAACACAGCCTCACTATTAAGCAAACTGTATGTTCCTACTTGCAGTATAATGGTAATCCAATGATCACACTCACCTACAATCCTTTGCCCATCTTCTGTTTTTAATCGCACAATCTGCATTTTTACATTAGCCCCACTGACTGAGGCCAAGACTCCTTCAACTTTTGTCCAGACACTTAGAACTGAACCACAGAGGACATGATAAGTACGGCACCTCAGCCCGACTTCACAAACCATTCCAAGGCTTACTTTTTTGCAGTTTCCACGCCTAAATGGATATAAAGAAAAGTATTACAAAAAGATTATGTTAACTCTTCAAAGGATATTAGATTCAGACAGGGGTTTCAAAATAAACTGGGACATCATTATTGTGGTAGACATACTTGTCCTGCATCTGGAAGAATAAGAGACTTTTCTGCACTTTAGATAAATTGAATCAAAGTCAAATAACTTTTGCACTTTAAACAGAATTAACATTGCTAACGTAGAACCACATTCAAAGATGACAAACAGCTCCAGCACATACACCTTTGATCCAAACATCCCCACCTGACATCCAAGCCTACAGATAATATTACAAGGACTTTATTGATAAGGCTTATTATAATTGCAGAGGCTCTGCCTAAGGAAGACAACATAAGGACATGCAAACTGTCCAAGAGATAATCTAACCTTTGTCCATTGATGCTCATTGACATCATCTCTGAAACCCTCCTTCAACATCCTACGGGTGACCATTGACCAGAAGTTGAATTAAAAAAGCTTTAGCAGATCAGAGACTAGGAACTCTAGAGCAGTCTCGACTTCACAGAGCCTGCCACTATCTACAAGACACAAGTCAGGAGCGTGACAAAATACTCCTCACTGGCTGGGCTAGGTGCAGCTCCAACAATGCTCAAGGACCTCAACACCATCCAGGACAAGGCAGCACCACAACCATCACGCTCAACATTCACTTCATTCAACATTAACAGTGGCAGAGTGTGAACCATCTACAGGATGTAGTGCAGCAACTCACCCACAGCTCCTCCGACACTGCCTCCCAATTCATGACCTCTGACAACAAAAAGAACAGAACAGCAGGTGCATGGACACACCACCTGCAAGTTCACCTCCAAGCCACTTACCATCCTGACTTGGAAATATATTATCATTCCTTCAGTGTTGCTGAGTCAAAACCCTGGAACTCCCTCCTTTACAGCACTGTGGGTCTACCTACACCCCACCACTACCACCTCCAGGGCAATGAGGTATGGGCAATAAATACTGGCTCAGTGATAGTCACATCCCATAAATGAAAAGAATAACTTAAAGGGGAAATCTGCATTCAAGGCAACATAATCCGAGCAAAATCAAAACCAAGATAAACAAGGTTAAACCGGCTTTGCCCATTTCTCCCCGACAATTCCAATGGCATTTGCAATTCATTCACAGCATTAACACAATCTATGAAACTTATAGCTCAAATGTGGCTGGTTTTATCTTTTTAATCCTGAATCCTTAAGCTCAATACTTTACAACACCCAGCCCCCAAGAAGCTCTACTTTTAAGCACCTCAAGTTATTCTGCATCTGAAGCAGTCCCTCCCATATTCTCATATCCACTGTACAACGACCACTTTGGCTAGGAGCACAAAATTTAATATTGCGCTTAACTAAGTCATTCTTCTTACGATTCAAGACTATTGCAAGACAGTAGTGATTTAGAATGGTTTTCAAAGTAATGCAGTTCTGGGAAAAATTACTATTTGTCAACAATGGAAGCAAATACATTTTTTTTAAAAATTCCAATAGACTATAAGTCATCATGACTGAGGTTGGAGGAATGCACACAGTCAGTCATTCTCATCCCACTACTTCATTGGGTCACAACTTGAAATATAAACATTTTCTGGATACCAAGGATGCAAATTAAATGTGACATAAACACAATCAACCAAGTTTCTTAATAAACATAATTGTTGGTTTATCAAAACAGGAACTGATTAACACACAAAGTCAGTAGAAGTACAATTGTTTATCCCTCTAAATATCCCCCAAACACACACTTCACAAGAGAATAGAAAACAGATTTACTTGTAAAGACTAGCTTTCTAGAAACAGAACACTTTGGCCAGTTATTCTTGAAGGCTGAAGGATAAACTACATAATGTTTCAGAGTCTGTTCCTATGACATGCTGGCACTTGTGGTCAAATCACTAATCATGCGCAAGTACATTTGGCACTAGCAGATGCTGGAAATCAGAAAGACAATCAGAAATTTCTGAAAAAAAAACTCAGCAGGTCTGGCAGCATCTGTGGAGAAAAAGCAGAGTTAATGTTTCAGGTTCAGTGACCCTTCTTCAGAACTTGTTGTAGACATTGCTTGCTCAGGAAATAAGTTTCTATAATCACTCTTTCAAAAGGGCAAATAAGCTTCACCCTGCAATCAAGAGGGGGGTTCTCTCTACAGAAAAGACAGGTCAGCTGGGTAGCTTGTTCTGAGCAAGCTTCTTTCCACATAAACCAGGAAAAAAAAAGAAAAGAACATCTCCAGGTCAGTTACTGTTCAAATGTGGGCATAAAATTAGGAAATTTCTTAAGTGTCTGTTCTAATATTTAAAGAAAAACAAAATTGCTTTTCACAGTTTTGCAGAAATTTGAGTTCTATCAGACGTGAACACAGCATCTTTTTCAAAGCCTAAAATCCTAACCATAAGTTACTTTTGTTCTTACTTTCTAGTTGTGATCAGTTCTAATTTCTTGTTCAGGCACAATGTACATTAATCAATTTTGCTTTCCTGATAAATCCAACAATTGTATTTATTAAGAAACTTGTTCAATAGATGTCTAAAACTCAATTTGCATGACATACTTAATTGGTTGTCTTTGTAGCCAGAAAGATTTTTGTTTAAATTTTCATGCTGTGACCCATGGAGCAGTGGGACAAGAATGACTGTATACTCCCCTAGCCTCGCTAGTTGCATTTTGATAGCCTACTGGAATTTGCCTTGGTGGTAACTTCAGCAACACACCCAGTGATAAGTGTATTCCAATACACAATCTTGTGCCTTAACAAGATATCAGAGCTGATCTCAACTAGAAAGCCAGCATAGAAGAAATTTGATTATTTTAGGCTTTGAAACAGATGCTGCATTCTCATCAGGTTAACAAACTCTTTGCAAAACTGTTGAAATCCAAGTTGTATGTAAATATTGGAAGAAGTACTTATGAAATTTCCTCATTCTGTGCTCAGAAGGGGTCTTCAGCAAAGTAATTATTACCATTCATGTGATTCACAGGAAGCCTTGTTTAAAAAAAACTCTAATGACCACAGAGAACTTTCAACAGCATCTTAAATAAACCATTCCAGGTATTCCCACAATCCTTCAAAACTAATTTAAATATAACGCCTCTTTGTAACACAGGCCACTGAGTAGATAGCAGTTTGAGATTGTTGGCTTCTTAATTTTGACTGATAAAATGTGATAGAGCAGGGTATTATCAGTGGGTATGCAGAAGCTGAATAACAAGTCTTCAGATGGAATGATGTATGTTGACAATGGCACCAGGAATAGACTACTGTACTTACCTGCAAGGCCTCCTGAAGGCAAGAGAAGCAAATACTGCAGATGTTTTGATTAGAATGGGTTAGACAAGAGTGAAACAATGTCACAACAGTCCCAATGAATTGGACACAAAGATACTGTCAAAAGAACAGAAGTTCAGAAGGACAAGGAGGGGTATTCAACTGCTGAAATTTTAAAATGAGTCTTTGGTTTGAACATTTTTACTGCAGTAACAAGCAGAACCCTGACTGTAAAGTCCAAATATGGAATGATGGGACACACAGGAAGAGGTGTTGGCAGTGACACACCTGAGGATTTGACAGTGAAGTGGAAGATGGACAGCATGTTGTAAAAGTAGAGGGATCGAGGATTTGTACCACTGACAATGAGAGAAAAATGAAAATAAAGAGCAAATTAGAAACATTTTAACCAATCTTTAATGACATTACTAACCAATATGCGTGAGTACAAGTGTCTGCAGATGACTTGTACTGTTCCACCCAATGCGACTCTGCTTCCGCAGATGTTACCTGTGACGATAACAAAATTAGAAGTTAAACCAGAAATACATCTCCATTTAAGAAAGTGACCCAACATCCACAGCCCCAGTTTTGATCAGCTGCAGAATTATTACTATAACAACAGATCTGTTGACAGTTGTCAAGAGATAGTAGGAACTGCAAATGCTGGAGAATTTGAGATAACAAGGTGTAGAGCTGGATGAATACAGCAGGCCAAGCTGCATCAGAGGAGCAGGAAAGCTGACGCTTCAGGCCTAGATCCTTCTTCAGAAAATTTTCTGAAGGAGGATCTAGGCCCAAAACGTCAGCTTTCCTGCTCCTCTGATGCTGTTTGGCCTGCTGTGTTCATCCAGCTCTACACCTTGTTATATCTGTTGACAGTTGTCAATACATTCACTTCCAAAAGTTACAATAAGAACACTAATGCAGCAGTGTTTCATCTATGCCTGGCCCTGCAACAAGAGAACAGACTTTTTCAGGATTTAGACATTAGTTCCAAAGATTCATGTCATAATACAAGTATGCTCACTTCTAACACAGTGCACATTTAATTAGCTCATTTTAGTCCATGTTCTTTCACCTTTTTATATTTCTTTTTTAGTTCAATGTAAGTCTCTAATTTGAGTTGCTTGCCAGTGTTTGGTCTGTACATCATGAACAATCTCTTCTTGCTGTTAACTTCCTTAACCAGAATTGCTGTCTTTTTATTATTCCTTATCTGGAACAAACAATAAAATGAACATTGTTATTCATCAAAGATACATTATAATGACCTAAGACAATATGCCCGCTGTATTTTGCAGTAAAAACATACATAAAACAATAAGTTAACTTCAGCAAAATTGCCTGTTTGCTAATTTAGATCTCAGGATGTGATTTCAAGTTCATTTTAACCCCAGAAGTTATAATTAATAACATGAGGGGCAGGAGCGCAAGACTGTTCAATGCAATGCATTGTTTAACAGGTATCATTGGACTTCATGGGCCTCTCACTTCTGATGTGCAGAAGTGTAAATTCAGAAAACATTCAAAAAGGCAGCTGCTTTCAATGGTATTTACCTAAATTATTCATTTATTGCAATTCCCAAAACTTTTAGAAAAGTTGAGTGCAATTTTTCAGGTTAAAAAAATAAATACTGAAACTTCCAAAGGTGTCACAAATTGAATCAATGTCACAGAAACTATCATAGAGATAGAGATTACATCATTCCTGCCATTGGGGAAGTTCTGCATTTGTGGGCAGAATGGCAGAGTAACAATTCCTGAAGATTGATCCTCAGAGTATGTTCAAATCAGCTATTCATTTGGTTTAGTCACTGTCTCAATGGCAAATTCAGCAATACAACCAATCATAAGTATTCAAACACCCAATCTTATGTGCCTTGACAAGAAGGAAGAACTGATTTCAACCAGAAAGCCAACATAAAAGGAAAGTTCTCATCATCAGTTTAGGCTTTGAGACACGTGCAGTATTCTCGTCTGATAAAATACCAATTTTTGCAAAAAGGTTGAAAGTCAAGTTGCCTTTCCTTAAACATTGGAACAAGCAGAAGTGCAGGGTTAAATCTTTGAGGTGTGAGAGAAGACAATACAGGGTATATAATGCCTGTAATGTTTCATCTTCAGAACATCTCACTGATGTTTCTAACAAATGAACTTTAAATTCTACAAATGTAAAACCATAATGTGGAGCGGACTGCCCATCACCATTGACAACAGAATACATCCTTTGTCCAGCCAGTTTTTGTGCTAGGCATATTTTATAAACTTTAGAAGCACCAATAGTTTCATATAATTAAGTACTGACAAATTAAATTCTGATACCAGAACTCAAAAGTCAATTTGAAAGTTGAACGATAAGGATTAAAAACTAGCCCCTTCTGGGCCCACGCTGTCCTGACAAAACCAAGTCATACAGTTTTAGTAATGTACATTTTATGTTACTTCATAAGTGACAGTGATCTCTTGGAGGTTGATTCAATGCTTTAGAGTTGGGGAGCAATTCCTGGAGCTGTACAGCTTTTGCAGCTGCACCAGTCAACACTCAGTGTTTAGTCATGGAGAATTCACCACTCACCAGTGACAATGGATGGGACTGCTGGTCTCACTAATTCTGGATAGTAAGTCTGAATAATTTCAGTGCACCTGCAATTTACTGTAGGTCTGCTGCAATTTAAGAATAAAGCTCAAGTGGTCAGGGTCTACACAAAAGCTCACCAACTGCTGTGACAGTATTTGATACCAAATCATGCATTTCAATTTCAGTTCTTGTTCAGAGTTATTTAAACTCCTGTTCCAGATGAAGCACTCTATTACAGAACCAAAGGAAAGTCAGTCAACTTTGTTTTTAAAAAAAAGTTTACAATTCCGTTCTGTCTCACCTAAGAGGAGGAAATCAGCAAATACTGCTGAATGTCCAATTTTGCTATCCTAATTAGTTTGGTTGACCAAACCTCTGGTCTGAGAACAAAACTGCCCCAAAATGGTATTTCTCAAGTAGCCTTCTACAAGTGTAAGCACACAAAACCACCAGAATTTCGGGAGTCAATTGTTAAATTAGGTGACTCATCTTCCTCCAAACTCAATTGAGTTTCTCTATTCTGAAGAACTATGAACAATCAGCAAAGCTTCTAAAACAAAAGAAAGAAAACACTGTTCAGAAGGAATCGGGAGTACATTTAATTACCTCCAATCAAGTGAATATTATGAATACTTGCCAATTTTACTGATTGTCTTTTCCATAATTGTAAAAATCTCAAGTGTAAAGAATTCTTAATTGTACGAATCAGATAGGCATAGTAGGGGTTATGTCACTTCAGTAGTAATCCATAGTGCCAGGCTAAAGTTCTGGGAACATGTACAAATCCCACCACAGCAGACGTGAAATTTCAAATCAATAAAAAACCTGGAATGAAACATTAATGACATGAAGTGTCAATGGTCCCATCTGCTTTATTAAATTAACGTGCTTTAGTGAAGGAAATCTTCCATCTTTACCGGTTTGACTCTGGACCAGATTGCAATGGAGTTGATTATTAACTACCTTGAGTAATGAAATACTGGCCCAGCCAGCAATACCCAGATAAAATGAACAAATAAATCAAGATTCAAACCTAACTTCCATCATCCACACCTGTTACTTCTTTCAGCTTTGACAAGCCTTCTCAAATCCATTCTCCTGTCAAGTAACTCGACTCTTGGTACACAGAGTCTGTTTCCTCTGTGAAATGTAGTAACAGAACAGAAATATCTCTAACCACCCCCATTTTCATTTCCTATCTACAAAGATGCAAAAGAAAATGCTGCGAATTCAGCAGTTAAGTCCATAAAGGTATGATTTCATGTTTTAATTGCTCTGAAGAATTTAATTGAAACCATGTCCTTTCTTCTTACCTGTGTTTCTGGCTGTAACCTATTGTTTCATTAGTTAGAACCTGCAGAATTTTACAGAATGGAAATCACAAAAGAAAAGGGTCTAAATGTCTTTTCAACCACCTTAGTGAAACATCCTGCTGCGTTCAGGGATTTGTGGAAATTCACTAAGACTTTGAGTTCTTCAGTTCCTCTATACCTCCTACTTATAGTGCATTCCACTCCTTTTTTAAAAACCATCCCCCCCAAAAAAAAGCATCACCTCATTTTACCAGATTGAATTCCATTTGCCACTTATCTGCTCACCTGACCTATTCATGGACATCTTCCTTCAGACTACATCTTCCTTCCTCACCAATCACTTGGTCAATTTTTGCAGTGGCTGCAAACTTGAACATTATTTACATACAGTCATGAATGCATCAACAAAATGGTAGATCTTACCGATGCAGTTTTCAATGATCAAATTTCATATCTCGCTACCTTTGAAATGTAGTTCACATGAAACTCAGGCCAAGAACGAGTAATAATGAGGGACAGGCAGAGTAAGATGAACCATATTATATGCAGCTTAACTTAATCAATTCCAATTTACTAAAGGATGACTATCACTACTTCAATGTAGCAAAACGTGACAATTTAAATACCAATGCATTATCAATAACTACAGTGATTTCTCCTGTCGTTCTCCTTGTTTACCTGCATTGACAAATAGAAGCCATCGTCTATTCCAGTTTGCTCTGCCCAAATCTTTGTAGCTTCTTCCCAGGACATGCCTCTTTCAACACTTATCTAAAAAAATAATTGTACAAAAACACCCATTTGTGTTTGAAAAAGTTAACTCTATATTAATTTACAAGACATTCAGACATTTACATCTTTAATGAGTTTTGAGACATTTGTTTTTGTCTAACAATCTGCTTATATTGTGCAATGTTACAGTATGGGCCAGCATGGTGGCTCAGTGGTAAATACTGCTGCCTCACAGTGCCAGAGGGCCATGGTTCAATTCCAGCCTCAGGCAACTGTCTCTGTGGAGTTTGCGCATTCTCCTCGTGTCTGCATGGGTTTGCCCAGGTTTCCTCCTTCAACTGAAAAGTGCATAGGTTAGACAGACTAGCCTTGCTAAATTGCCCATAGTGTCTGGGGATGTGCAGGTTAAGTGGGTTAGCTGTGGGAAATGCAGAATCACAGGAATTGAGGCGAGGGAGTGGTCTGTGCAGGATGCTCTTCGAAGGGTCAGTGTAACTCAAATGGGCTGAATAGCCTGATTCTATTCTGTGTTTGGGAATGGATACTGTTTTATGTGGAACAACAACCTACAAAGATCTAGGTATAATGAGTTGAGATCCTGATCTGTGCTTATCCCAGGTGTAGAAGCAGGAAAAGTAACAATAGTCTTACATGTGGGATGTTGCGTTATGTGATGTCATGCTCCTCATTCTTACCCATCGATTTTCACTATAAGTATGCACATGGGCACACCTCCCGAGGACATAAGCTAGCTCCATTGATACACTGGCATAATCTTGGAAGACCTTGTGGAACTATTCTCAGGTGAGGTGAACATCTCTCGCCCACAGGGAAGGAAATGAACAGAACATGCAAAATACAAATCAGTGCAACAAATGGTCAGACACTTACAGTATAAATTTCAACATGTCCTGATACTGAATACCCTGGAGTTAAGAATTTCTTTGCTTCTAGTTTCTTCACCTTCTCATCTCCGGAACCCAGATCTGTCCGTAAACAGAAGCAAATCAGCAACTGTCATGCAACAAACTTCTCTTTATGACAGTTGACAATCAATGACTTACCCAAAATTCCCATATCATATCTTCCATTCTTCTTAGCATTCTGAATGACAGCATTTAAAGTGTCTGAAAAATACTGGAACAGTGCATTCTGTTGGTGTACTTCCATACCAAGGATTCGATTCAAGAATTTGCCAATATTGTTATAATCTGAAATGAATTCATTACATTGTTAGAGTAGGGAACCAGAATTTTAAGAAAAAGCAATGAGTCAAATGTTTTAATGCATTTTTACCTTTATCCAACGTGAGCAGCCCTGAACGGTCTTCCACATTTATCAAACCCACACCAATTAATCCCTGTCGAACATCTAGGAACACAAATAAAAGTTGCATGACATGTACTTAGTGAGAAATTACAATAAAGGACATTGTGAAAATCAGTAGTTATGAAGCTATTCCATGTGCCATGCACATGCAAGTCCATGTCACTCACTATACTATGGACTCGGTCAGTTGGTAGTGCTCTTGGTCTAAACCAAAAGGCTGAATTCAAGGCCTATCACAGGATCTAATCACAAGCTATAGCATTGCTACAGTGAGTAATACATTGGAAATTGCAAGGCTTAAATTCTTGTATTTAAAATAAGAACTATAATCCAGACTGTTTTGAAGGTTGGCCAAGAATCTAATCCACCAATATAAATTTCAAAAGTAGAAACATCGATTGTGTATTTCAGTGCTTCGACAGAAGACATAACTCCATACAGCAGCATGCAAACATTAATTCAATAAAGCTTGTGATTTCAGTGTTAATACCATAGATAAACAAGAGGCACAAAGTTACCTCATTAACTACTAACTGAACTGCTTCATCAATGCACTTCAGGGAAACTATTTGCTACTCTGACATCAAGTAGCCCACAAATTCCCATGCCATGTAGCTGATTTTACTGGCTCAAGACAGTTAATGATGCTGCATTTATTGTTGCTTTTGTTGATTTCAACATCCCATGGATATTTTAACTAAAACTTAGATGTGTTTTCTAGGACAAGATGATTTAGTCCTATCATGCAATACTAACAGCTTGATAAAAATCAGAAAAATAAAGAAAATTAAAAACAATAACTGAATTTAGTTAATACTTATAAAATGATTTAGAGTCCAAAGTTATACAAATATATACTCATACTGCCAGTGTACTAGACAGCTTAAAGGCAACATTACAACATTTATCTATGTAATCCCATATGTACTGCTAAGTTGGGGACAGGTGGCTGGAAAGATAAGCCAGTGTCAGATTAGGCAGATGCTGTGCTAGGTTGGTAGTTGGGCAGAGAGCTATGTGCGTTTTTACAAACAGGAGCTTCATATTGGACAGAGCACAGGCTGCTGGCTCAGGACCTGGCACTGAGAGGAAAAATAAATAAATACAGAATCCTAAATTTTCTTGTGGTGTTAGACAATTAAATTATTTCATTACAACAATGGCTACAAATGCTTTGGATTTCCTGTAGGCACGCAGAGTATAAACGCAAATCAGATTTTGTTTCAAGCATCCCACTTCTAATCCCATTGTCAAGTGATATTAATTTAATTCATTTTTCAAGGTGCCAACCCAACCCAACCCAAACATCTTCACAAATTTTCTATAATCTTAATGATAGAAATTACAGCACAGAATGACAAAAGTCCATTTCACCTATTGTTGCTGGCTAAAATTGAGGCATTTTGTCCATGTTTTTATGGTCAATCTTTAATACTGTCAAATATTAATTCAGTTTTATTTTAAATAGATTTCCTACCCCACAACGTTTCTATGTTTAATTAACTGTTTAGATGTACAAATGAGTAGTGTGGATTCTCTATGATTTGTCAAGGAGAAAGCCAGTTCAAGATTAGAATTGGAGCTTTTTTGTTAAAAAGGAACCCAGCCACCAGTTTCAATCTATCTCAAGTGATTCTCCAATTAATGCCCATCACATTGCATACAACTAAACAAGAACATTCAATTATTGAAAGTTTTCACACCCTTTGTCTTTCATTAACAATTTGATTATTTAAAGTAAAACTGGTGCAGGCTTCAACAAGAGTTTTGTTTTTAACACAGCTCACCATCATCACATTCTCAAGGGCAACTAGGGACATCATAAACATTGGCCTGGCCAGTAATAACCAAATCCTCAGAAATTAAAAAAACCATTAAACTCTTGTTTAATACTTAAGAGAAATACCAAAAAAAGGAAGAAAGAATAGTTTGGTTTGGAAGTTAAGAGTAAGAAACCAACATAGGCAGTCCAAACAACTAATAACAGCCTTTAATTCAAGAACAAGTTTTATAAGTACGTATGAGACTAGCCTTGTTCATGTACTAAACAGAATGTATGGCTAATTATGAGAATAGTTTTACTAGTCAGAATGAAAATGTTAGTGTGTTATTTCTACATGAATCAGGTGGGGTTACATTCACTGGAATTTTTTTTTTGGGGGGGTGGTGGGGGGAAGGGGTTGTGTGTGGAGTCTCATGGAAATCTATAGGATTCTAACAGGAATATGCAGGAAGGATGTCCCCAATGATCAGGGAGTCCAGAACCAGGGGTCACAGTCTGAGGATAGGAATAAAACATTGAGGATTGAGATGAGGAGAAACTTCTTTAGAGTGTGTTGAACCTGTGGAATTCACTAACACAAAATAATCAAGGCCAAAACATTGTGGGACTTCAAAGAGGAGTAAAAAGGATCATAGGTTTTGGGGAAAAGCAAGAACAGGCTCTTGAGTTGGATGATCAATAATAATAGTGAACAGCAAAGCAGGTCTGAGGGGACATGCGGCTCCCTTCTTTCTACATTTCCATGTAATGAATGGAAATCGTGAGGATTGTTATAGACAAAACCAAACCCCCTCAAAATATATTCAAAAGACAGTCTAGATCCTAGCCTTTTCTTAAAGGCAAGCGTAAGGTGTTGCATTGCAGATACAGTTTGATTGGTCAAACTACCTGATGTTAAATGTTAAGTTTACACTACAGTTAAAATACAGACAAAATAACTAACCAGCAAAATGCTTAACATAATAGATAAATTAACTACCACTAATTAACTCTTCCACAATAGTAACATCACGTAAATGCACCCTCAGCAAAGGAAAATTCAGGAAAAAAAAGATAGTCTCGTATGCAATTCTACAGTCCTGTAGTAAAAAGAGAAAACTCAGTGTAGCAGGGAGAGATGTATTACAGCTTCCAAAACCAGCTTCAAGACCCCAGCAATTGCCACTGAAAAAACAAAATCCTGGTCCCTTGGGAGCTTGCTCCACCCATTTAGACTACTTTCCTTGCTCCAAACATTTTTAAAAAAAACAAAACATCACAAGATGTTTACTTTGTGCTTTCAATAGACAGCTTGGTAACTCTAACCAAAAACTCCCACTTCAAAAGCAAAGTACAAAATACACCTCTTAAAACCATAGTACCGTCATAGGGCTGCTTATAGACTATCAAAATTTCCATTGTACCTTTCACATATACTCACCTCGGACAGGCAGTGGTATCGTCAGTGGACTAATAATTCCAAGGTCCACACTAATCTGGGGGCAGGGATTCAAATCCCAACACAGTAGCTGGTGGCATTATATTGAATTAATAGATCTGGAATGCATGCTAATCTTGGTAATGATGACCATGAAACTGTCATTTGCTGTTTAAAAAACCCATTGAATTCACTAACATTCTTTAGGAGAAGAAATTGACTCTCCCAATTTGACCTACATGTGACTCCAGATCCACAAATATGGTTGACTTCCAACTGGCCTCTGAAATGGATTAAGATAATTAAGGTGGTCTAATAATTTTGGACAGCACTGTAGCCTAATAGCACCAGGGTCCAGGGTTCAAATTCCAGCCTTCGGTTGCTGTCTGTGTGGAGTTTGCACGTTCTCCTGTTTCTGCATGGATTTCCTCTGGGTGCTCCTGTTTCCTCCCATAGTCCAAAGATTTGCTGGTTAGGTGGATTGGCCATGCTAGATTGCTAATTGTGCTCGGGGATGTGTAGGCTAGGAGGGTTAGCGATGGTAAATGTGGAGATATGGGGACAGGGTAAAGGTTTTGGCCGAGGTAGGATGCTCTTTGGAGAGTCAGTGCGGACTCAATAGCCCCTTTTAATGTTGTAGGGATTACATGATTCTATGTTTCAATATAGACAGCCCATGAAAGAATAAAAACAAATTTTCAAAGGGTGTCAACTATTGTAATGACAGGAAGTGCAACAATTTGCCCACAGCAAAGTCTCAAACAATAATGAGAAATGTTAACAGGACAACTCCCCCCTCCCCAAATTCTTTTGGATAGTGGCATCCATCTGACAGTGAAGGTAGGGCCTTAGTATAATATTTCATTCAACAATACAGTATTTCCTCAGCACTCAATAAGCACCATCTTAAAGAGCTTGTGATCAACTCTAAATGAGGCTTGAATGGAGATATCTAATTCAAAGGAAAAACTCCAATGAAACAAGCCCACATTAAAAGGAGAGAGAAAACTGGGCACGTATCAGTATGTAAAGAAGGTAGAATAAATAATTTGCCTGCAGCAGTTGTAAAGTTATAGTTAACCTAGTTAATGGATAATGGCTATTCTTCTACAGAAAACCATTAAGTGAAAACCCTGATAATCCTGACAAAAGTGAAATAAAAATATGTACTGCACCTTTGAAAAAGTCTCCAACATAGTCTTTAGGCGATGACACCAGTGGACTATCCAGATTTACAATAGATTTCATGACTATTTCCAAGGCATTCCTTCCATACTGCAGAAGTACCAAAGTCAGTTGGTCATCAAATTACAATACTGATAGTTTATTAACAGCAAGAATGTTACACACAATGCACAAGAATGTTTGAGTTAAAAGAACGTTAAAAGTTGATGTGTTAGCATTGCGACATCTTTTCCTAGTGGTCAATGCATTCTGCAGGCAACATAATTTCACTTGACATTTCACCTTGGGAGCTTACAGCCCAGTGGCCTGAATATTGACTTCACCAACTTCAAAATCTCTCCACCCCCAACCTGTCCATCTTCCAACTCAGACATCCACTTCCCCCTCCCCACTGGCCAACAATAATCCCCTACCTGCATCCACCTATATCCATTGCACTTACCCTCTCCCCAGCCCCAACTCACTCCCTCTATTTCTAGGCTCCCCTCCACTTCCCGACGAAGCATTTCAGCCTGAAACATTGACTTCCCTGCTCCTCGGATGCTGTCTGACCTGCTGTGCTTTTTGAGCTCCACACTTATTGACTATAATTTCACATCTTTCAAGTTTGGAGTAGACAAGGTGCACAGAGTAACTTAACTACTTTTTAAAAAATTTGGGTATGGAAAAATTTTCAAATTAAATACATAACCATAAAGGTCCCATTCCATGATTCTAGCCAAAATAAAAACATTACCTTGTTATCAAAATTGAACCTGCTCAAATCTCTGGTTTCAGTAGCACGTCTGTCTCCATGCGTAAGAGCACCCTATCCAAACGAGGAAACATTAGCTAAAAACATTTTGGTATACAAGGTTTAGTATAAAACAAAACACCAGCTGCCAGATCAAGATAAATGAAAACAGTACATTAGCAGATCCCTGGTCCAATAGATAAGCTGTCGCCACATTACAAATGCATTTTTCATTTAAAATGGCTAATTCAAAACACTAACTTTCAAATTTGTGCGAAATTTGATTTTCACAGAAAACCACCAAATCCCCTGCATAAATTTCTCTCGTTATGTCCAGTATAATCTAAATAGATACTTGCAGCTCATCAACACAGGAGCATTGATGCAGAGCAATTAATGTCATACAAGATGAAAATATTTTCAGTGAAGAGAGTCTCACATGCTATTCTATTAAAAATACCTGATTCCTAAATACACAGTTGCTGGGAGTTAGGTCAATCAACTTGAATGAAATTAAATATGACTCATGTTCAAATGGTCTCTGAAACATCAATCCATGAGAGGGCATTCAACCTCTACGCAAATAGTTGCTGCAGATTACAAGAATGCAACAAAAAAGAAAAAATGCTCTGCAGGTTTGGAAACTTCTACAAAAATACAAAGTTAAAACATTAACTTTATTCATTGCAAATGTTAATTGTCTCTGAAGCCACTTAGCATTTCCAGCATTTCCCATTTCAGCATGTGCAGTGCTTTGCTTCTCTAGAAAATGCAAAATCTTTTTTCTCTCTGGAGTCACTGTCTGAAACAGCATCACTTGCAAAAAGGGGGAAGAGTTCATTTTAAAAAAAAGTGCATTTCTCCTACAATTTTGAACTGGGGGTAGTGGGAAGAGAGGAGAGACTTGTATGAAAGCAAGGGTACCTTCACAAACCACTGTATTAGAATACCGAGAACACGGAGTCCAACCAGTCATGTAATGACGTACAGCACAAAAGCAGTAAACGTATGACAAACATATCTGTCAAAAGAAAGATCTCATGCCATTGTAATTTAGGCAGTCATTCATACAGCAGAACAAGAGAAAGATGGGCAAGAAAGCCAAACATTAGCTATATTTTAGTACATTGTTTCAGCTCTGTCCCATGAGTTGCTCTTATGAAGAAAGCAGGGAATGTACAATACCGCTTTGAAAGACATTAACTTACCAAACTTTCAAGTCTTTTTGCAACAATTGAAGCAAATCTTTGTTCTCCTGCCAATTCAGAGATGAGGAAAACATACTCAGGAGAAGTCACTTGGTTTGATCGATGGGTTCTACCTATGAGCAAAATAACAACATTTCACAGTTACAGCAAAAAAAAAGTCAAGCTCAGTTAACCAGGTATTGTTGAGTCTGTTTAGGAGCTATTCTTTTAAATCCTTACCTATTCTCTTACATGAAAAAGTGCAAATAGCATCAAGATAAAACGAAGAATTGCAGATGCTGGCAAGAAAAACAGAAATTGTTGGCAAAACTCAGTCTTGCAGCATCTATGGAAAGAAAGCAGAGTTAACGTTCTGAAGAGTCACCAAACTTTAAACGTTGACTCTGCTTTTCTCCCCACACTGCCATACCTGCCGAGTTTCACCAAAAATTTGTTTTTGTTACAAATAGCATTGTTTCAATTACACCTGAACTTTACAAATAAATTAAACTCCCAACAATTTTGTGTCATCTCAAATAAACAAACAATACAACACATCCAATCAATCCACAGTACAGGGTGCATACAGACAATTGACAAGTCACAAGTCATAAGTCATGTCCATTGTCATGAGTGATATCTGAAGGAATAGATACAAGAGTTGCTGAGGTACCTGTATGCATGAGCCCCTTGTATATTCCAATAATTGTGTAATACCCTTAGTCCACAATACTTCACAGAAGCATAAATAAACCATTCAGCCTCTCGAACTTTCTCCATTCAATCAGGTCATGACTGATCAGTAGCACAATACCATTCACCCATGTTTGCATCATTTCCGTTGATATTCTTCTTCAAAAATTTTTATATCCCAGTTGAAAATGCAATTTGAACTGAGTTTTAATCACCTTCTAAATTAAAATGTCCTTTCCAATGCAACTCCTAAATGGCCAAGACCCCTCAATAATATTCAAATGTCTGGAATACAAGATTACTAAGAAAAGGTTAGCATAATAAGCAAAATTTTAAGATTATCTCACCAAATTGCTGAATAGCACGGTCTGCACTCCAAGGCAATTCCAAGGTCATGTGCACACGTCGCCTTTGGTTCTTAACTCTGCGATCTGCTTGCAATGAAATACCAGAACTGGCTGCTTCCGAAATGATTGCAATATTCTGATAAGCAAATAAGAATTTGTTATAATAGTATGTACAACTTTGCTTCTAAAAAAGAAATAGCTGAAATTACTCATACCTTCTCTCCATCCATAAACCGCTGTTTTTCTGTTATATTCAGGATTTCTACAGGAACATCAAGTTCGGATCTAGACTCGTAAGATATGCTACCATCATCGTTGCTCACAACCCTACCTTTCCGACCAGTCATCTAGGAAACAAAGTTTAATTAAGCAAATGTGACAAATTTTTCAATTGAAGAGACATCATTCAAGCAGATCAATTTAGGAACCAACCAAAATAATGTCAAGCAGAAGCTTACAAAAATGTGGACGTCATGATCTTTAGTCAACTAACCGACAAGTGTTAGCAATATGTGGCAAAATGAAATTGCATTCCCTAACATTATTTATTTTGCCCAATTGTGCAATAACCATAAAAAAATTAATTAATACTGTATGAAAAATGGAACAACAGCGAGCAATTGCAGACGAAAAAGAGAAAGCAAACACTGTCCTCGAGGAATTCTGCTCTGTATCTCTAACAATCTGCACTTCAAAATCACACCTTTCAGATGCATTGTCAGCTGTGCCTTTAGTCTAACTTCTACTAAATTTCCTTTGCCTTTCTTCTCCAAGACACTCCATGAAACAGTTTGATCATTTGTTCTATTCCATCATTGCATTACCTGTTCATTTTAACACTTCTGTGCAGCACTTGGAATGTTTGTCTGCATTACAATTAGTAAATAAATATAAATCCTCATTGTAAATGCAATATTACCAGAATACTTTCTTCAAACTAACCTCTGCTACGTTATCTGGACCACCAAGTTCGTCTATTAATTCATCCAGGGTATTGGGAGGCAGATCCTCAGCAAGCATCTCCAGCTTCTCGAGCAACTCTCGTTTCAATTGCTGCGCTCTTTCTACTGCATCTTCAC